AAAAAAAAAATCCAAACGTCTTGGGAAGGCATTCTTCACAGACTTTTTGCCTAGAATTAAAATTCGGGTAATATAGCCAACTATCATGCATTATGGTTAACTATTTTTTATTTCAATCAATTATAATTGGTTATAAGTTGTTATTATTAACTATAACTTTTCTTGATTTTTGTGTAAGATTTTGAGCCAAACTAATGATTTTAATGCTAACTTCCCGGATTTTGGTTTCTTGGGAAAGTTAGAAACCAAACACACCCGGCTTAAGTTCTAATCTTGGACCAAAATAATAATAATAATAATAAATAAAAATAAAAAGAGATTAAGAAGTCACCAATAGTCTTTACAAGAACAAACTCCATCTTTGTAATGATGAAACCTTCTCCTGTCTCTGACAATAATCTCCCTCCCATAAACCTTTGAAACCATCTTTATGAAGGTGTGACAATCCTCACAAACCCTAAGATTTTTAACCATACGAATGCATGAATCTCTTTCCGCTCTGATGAGCCCATAACAAAGTGCCAACTTCTCACTGTGCCAAAGAACCACCTCCCTTTTTTCTTCCTCCTCTAAATCAACCAAAACACTACCAGCATTGGGAGCATAGCCAATAAGCTTCAATCGACTAACTACCTCATCCAACTTTTCATAGATCTTATCTACTTGTTCATGGTTCCTATCTGCCATTAAAAACTCATGCACCTCATTATCCATTTCTATTCTACTGCATCCCTTTTCCTTGAATATGCCTCTCTCTTTCATCACTTTTCTTAACTCTCCAACATCCTCCCACCTTCTTTCTTTAGCATGGAAGTTTGATAACAGCACAAGGGCCCCATCATGATCTGGTTCCAGCTCAAGAACCCTTTTAGCAGCAAATTCTCCTAATTCAGTCTCACCATGAATCCGACAGGCAGCCATCAGAGATCCCCAAATGATAACATTAGGTGCCATAGGCATTGTCTCTACAACCTCAAGGGCTTCTCTCAAGTGATTAGCACGGCCAAATAGGTCAACCATGCAACCATAGTGCTCATGCTTAGGAGTGATCCTGTGCTCATTAATCATGGATGCAAAGATTTTTCTTCCTTCCTCAACTAACCCTGCATGGCTACATGCATACAGTACACCAATAAATGTAATCTCATTGGGCTCTATATTTTCCTCTTTCATTTTGTAGAAGAATTCTAAAGCATTATTGGCATCCCCATGCAGGGCAAATGCATTGATCATGGTGGTCCAAGATATCACGTTTCTTCTGGTCATTTTGTTGAAAACACCTCTTGCCGTTTCCAAAGTCCCACACTTGGAGTACATATCAATAAGGGCATTGTTAATGGGCAAAGCTCCTCCAAACCCATTTCTATTAACATATACATGGATCCATTTGGCTTGATCTAGTAGACCAAGGTGAGCACAAGCTGAGATGATGCTCAACATTGTCACATGATCTGGTTTTATTTGCAAGATTTGTAATTCCTTAAATAATCTAAGAGCTTCTTGAGGATTGTCACTCTCAGCATAACCAGATATCATTGCACTCCAGCACACCAAGTCCTTCTCAATCATCTGATCAAAAATCAATCGAGCATCCTCAACTCGCCCGAGCCTTGAATACCCAGAAACCATGGCCGTTGAAACAACTAAGTTCTTAGTCCCCATCTGATCAAATAATTCCTGAGCCATACCCATACAATTACAACTTGCATACATAGTTACAAGAGCACTACGTAAATGAGAGTCAATCTGAAGATTATTTTCATTAATATAAGCATGTATAGCTTTCCCGAAGCTTAAATTTCCAGCACGGCCACAAGCAGAAAGAACAGTGCAAAGAATCATCTCATCTGGTTCAAAATTGGCCCTCTTCATCTCATCAAAAAGCTCCAAAGCATCATTGAAAAGCATACTCTGACAATACCCATCAATCATTATATTCCACACAACAATATCCTGATGAGACATTTTATCGAACACCAACCGGGCCTCAGATATCCTTAGACAGGCAGAGTACATTCCAACCAAACCCGTCTGTATGAAGGGGTCCGAATCAAAACCCAGCTTGAATACCAATCCATGAAGCTCCCTTCCTTCAGCCAAAGCCGAAACCCTCGTTGCTGCCTTTAAAAGTGGGGGGAAGCTAAACCTGTCAATTCCCACCCCATCTTTCCTCAATCTCTGGTAAACAAAGAAAGTGAATTCAGGGTTGGGGCTGCGGGAAAGGTGGCGCAAGAAGGGGGTAGAAACGGTGGGGAGTAGGGGCTGAGGAAGGTGAGAGAAGACAGAAAGAGCATAGTGCAGGGAAGGGGAGGAGAGGAGGAGTTTGAGAAGTAGGGAGCGGGAGTTAAAGTGATTGCAGCGGAGGATTTGGGCATGGACTCGCTTGAAATGGGAGAGACATGTGCAAGAAGAAAGAGCGTCGTAGAGCGTGGCGGTGGTCGGAGGCGCAAGAATCAGGGGGTGGAGGGAGACGGTGGGATGCGGAAGTCGAAGAGTGGACATTTGGACCGCCTTGAGAAACGGAGGGAAAATACAACATAGGCATATCTGTAAGTTTTCATAAACCCCATTTGATGGCCCTCACACTTTTTCAAAATAATGAATTAAACCCGTTTTGTTTTCTTAACTTTAATTAAGGACAGAAAAAAATATCATCGTTGGGCCCTAGCCCAATTCGCCAAACCACACCTGATATAGGTATTAGCAAGTCTGTAGAGTCACTTGGTAGGCCCATTCTTTTCCGTATGCTGTTCATGTAGTGGAACATTGGCAGGCCCATTCCTTGACTTCTCCTGGGAATGAGCGGCTACATAGAGTTTTCCAAGAACACTTCATTGCCAACTAAAGGTTGAGTTGATTAGCAAATAAGTGCAATTTTATAGTATAGGTTTAAAATTTAAATCTTGTGATAAGTACTTAAAAATATTAATTTTCTTTAATAAGCAAAAGTTGAACGAGAACACCTTGACCTTATATGTCAAAAATTACATTACAATAAAGAAGTAATAAGTAATAACTCTATTAAGGACTTATTAATTTGATTGGAAATAGTTTATTTTTTCTTAAGATATTGAATTCGAGTCCTATGAATAAAGAAATAAATATTAAGTGAATTTCTTTTTTATAGAGTCTGATGTGATTCAATTATGAATTAATCAAATTTTAATATAACTTTCATATACTAAGTATTAAAGGTGTTCATATCCGATTCAATTATAAATCAGTCAAATTTTAATATAACTTTCATATACTAAGTATTAGAGGTGTTCATATCCGATTGATTCAATCTAAACTGATCCAATCCAATTTAAAATAAATCCAAACTGATATAAAATTGGGTTGGTTTGAATTATAAAATTTTAAAACCGATATAATTGGTTGGTTTGTGGTTTTTCCTTCAAACTGTCGGAATTGTTCGATTACAAAATAAAATCTGATTACGAGATAACTTACTTAAACAATATAATATATTTTTGTAGTATTTAAAATTTTTTTTTTTAATTTTACAAGATAATAACTCTATTAACTTAATTAAAAAATAAAAATAGAACATCTCTATATTCCCTAAGTTATTTTTCCATTTTAATCATGCACTCTAACCTTAATTCTAAATTTCTAATTCACCTATAACTTTATCCCATCAGAACTGGTTTACGCTTTTATTCTTAGAACTTTAAATTTCTAATTTATTCTTAAAATAATTTTATTATTCTCCTAACTAAGTTTTAAATTAGTATCATTCTAAAAGTCTTAAAACTATATAATAAAATTAGTTTTGATATTCTACTATTCTTGGATATTTGATTTAAAAGTTTTAAATTTTGATTATGAAAGCTTCTAATCAATTTTAATGATATTCATGTTAAATTTTATTCACTTTTAACATGATTTAGAAGATGAGATTACATTATTAGTGCATTAAAAAAAAAACTAATTTTAATTTTTAAGAATTATTTATGTTATGCTAGAAACTTTAAGTCATCTTTTATTGTTTTTTGTGCCTCTAGTGATCTAACTAAGAAGAATTTTCAGATCTTTTCAATTTTTAACAAATGTAAAGGAGTATAAGAACTCATTTATAATTTATACTTTTTATTATGTTTTTAATGATTTCCATGTTAATGTGTTTTATGGCTATGCTTTCTATTTGATATTAAAATATTTTTACATTATTTTATATATTTAATAATGTTAAAAACCAATTAATCCGACTGAATCACATCAATCCGATTTAAGTTGAATTGATTTGGTTATCATACAATAATAGATTAGATTGGTTTAAAAAATTTATTAACCTATTAAATTGGATTAATTTTAAAAATATTAAAATTCGAATCAAACCACATCGCAAACACCCTTACTAAGAATTAGTAAAAAAAAAAGAAAATGATATTTCCATGTGGTCATCCCTCATTTTCTAACCTATCTAGTTGTTTTAGGGGAACTCTAGGACAAATTCAAAGGCATACGATCACGCGGTGGTCGTCGAATTTGCCCATCCGGAAGCTTCTTTTGGACCCTCTCAAAATGATTAAGCACTTATATATCTAAGTTGGAATTCAGTTACAATAGGAAAATAAAGAAAAATAATTCATTAATTAATTGTTCGGTATCATCGTCACTGACCCAATGAAATTGTTGACTAAAATACACATGTAGCATTCATCATTGTTGGTGTAACAAACTATAAATAATCATGTTTTAAGGGGATATATATATATATATAAATTCCTTATTTATTATATCAGATACTGTGTTATATTGATTGCTCGTTTTTATGGGGGGAGGGAATGGGGGTTGAGGTCACCCATCAGGCCACAAAGTGCTGCCACATCGATAGCGTCCTACCACAAGCACTTGGCCCAATTAAAGGGAGGAAAGACAGAAAGAGTATGATGAGTTTCTGGGGCAATCCTTTCCAGGAAGCCTCATGCCACCTTCATTCCTTGTCTTTTACTATGCAATTCGTTTTCAAAACGTTTCTAATTGCGCAATCAATGTTCAGTTAAAGTTTGCGGACCCCATGTGGCCCAAGTGGCCACGTTGCCCTTGGACAGCAGATGGCTTGCACCCTTCAGAAGTTCGAATCTCTCCCAGCAGCACTAACAAATACTAACACTCTCTAACCAATTCTTATTGTCAAACAAAAAAAAAATTGTTCAGTTAAAGTTTCCCATTTTAGTATATATATATATATATATATATAAATAAAAGATGTAACTAGAATTACAGTATACTATATAATATAAATTAATAAATGAAGTAGCTGTGAAATTAAGAATTGCTCTTTTTTTTAATTTATTTAATGATTTTTATTTTAGACTCTG